TAGTGGGAGAAAAAAACACTGAAGTTGTTAAAAAATAAACATATTAAGACAGAGAATTGTATAAAAAGTTATCACATAGCAGGAAAACTAATCTCTGATGATCACAGGAAACAATCTGCTCAAAATTAGTTATTGTGTTCTCTATTTGTGTTAATTGTATAGTTAATATCAGTTGTTCTGTACTGTTACTGTTATGCATTAAATATAATTTGAAATACATAAAATATGTCACATACTTAGGGGTCGTCGGTTTACTCAGTGATAGAAAAGATGTTCCAAAGGGGGAAAAAGGTTGAAAAAAACCCACTACTTATATAACACGCTACATCTAACACTGGAAAAGTAATTAAAAGACAAGAACGGTCGAAATTGCTGCAGCAGAGGCCGAGATCTCCTGAATATGAGCCCATTTTAATGGGTGAAGCTCAAATAACGCAGGATCCTACAGTTGCTTGTCTTTTAAACGCCATGTTTGTTATAATTTGTGTACTTGACAGGTTTAGTAGTGCTCACCATGACTAGTTTTTGAGGAAATTGGACCCTTTAAAGGATTTACTGCCACTAGTGCAACGCTTCAACCTGGATATTTATTATAGTAATTAATTCACTGTCTTCTTGTATTGTATGCAATATTAAACGCGTCATAAAGTGTGTTTTATATAGAAAGAAGAAGAGCAAAGGAAAGGGAGATATGTGGTAATTCCAATCTATTTACAGGGGAAAGGGTGGGGAGATTTTGAAAAGAAGATGAGAGGAAGTTACTGGACTGCTTTAAAGATGAACTGGAAAGTTTGGACTCCCTTCCAGTTTGTCAATATCAACTTTGTGCCTGTTCAGGTGAGTATTTCACCGACATCCTGTCACAATGCAACGCTGAATCACACACTGACACCTCTCATGTTTATTCACCCTTTCCTGTATTCTCTGTTGTTGTTGTTGTTTTTTTGCTTTCAGTTCCGCGTGCTGTTTGCCAACATGATTGCCCTGTTCTGGTACGCCTACCTTGCATCTGTGAGGAAATGAATCTTCCTGCTGTGGCTTTTTAAGCTGTTTACCGCACTGCTGTACACCTGCTCCTGATCGGGACGATAATTCTCACACACAGTAGCCTAACAGACCTGTACACTGAGTTTAAGCCATTATAACATGCTGCTATGATACTGCGTTTGTAATGACAACATAATACATGTTTTTTTTACCGAAGCACTGTAAGATGTAATCTTGATTTATACTATTGAATGATTTAAAGTGCCTTGTTACTTGTGGTGTGTGCAGGGTATACAGCTCCACATCTGTGGCTGATGTAATATTACAGAACAGGAAATGTGAAGACACAATGCAAATTCACACTTTAAATAGTTTCTTTATTATTTTTTTTAATTACCCAAATAACAAAATTAAAAACATATATTTGTGAAAATAAATTTTTTAACACACCATGTTGTCTATATGTGTAACATTTGTATTTGCCAAAATTAAATATTAAACCAAAATAAAAGTTGTAAGATTATAGAGGAATGTGTTGGATTTTCTTAAATTGAAAGACTAATAAATACAAAAATAAAGCATTTGAGGTTATTTGATCTTCATCGTATTAAATTAAGGAATGTACATTTCATTGATTAATTATCTGATATATGAGCTTGGTGGGTGCTCAGCCTCCTCTCAGACGCAGCAGCATGTCGATGGTGCTCTGATGTTCGACGTTGTACTCTGAAAGTCTCCCACCGGTCATCTCTCTGCTTTGGTGAAGGAGCCTCTGCTGGCTCACCGGGACCCCCTCTCTTTTCTCGACCTTGGTCTTAAAGTCGTTCACAGTCTCGTCGGGTCTGATGTCATAGGTGCTCAGCTTCCCCTTCTCGTTTCTGACGAACACCTGGATGGTCTCCGGCTGCTGGGTGACCAGCAGAGACACCATGGATCCAGACTGTAGACCGTAGTAGCAGAGACGCTTTGAGTCGTCGTTGAGTTGAGTCGTCTGGCCGTTCACAAAGACCAGCTTCTGCCTCTGAGGGGAAACTCCAAGTTTCTCGTGGATGAGTCTTTTCAGAGAGCTCACTGTGTCCTGTGGGTTCACCGTCAGGGTGTGGAACCTCCCATCCAGCATTTTAATAGTGATATCCATCATGAAAGTGGCCTGAAAGACAGTTCAGTACATGTTAAATATAAGTGAAGAGTGCATATATAAGAAAACATGTTTATTCGGTTCAACCCCCCCCAAAAAAATGTCCAATAAATATGATTTGAATAGGGTTTTTTACGTGAAAATTACAATTATGATGCAGAAATGATCATTCCCACTATCTTATATCTGTCAAAATAACCGCAATAGGATTTGTTTTTTAACCATAAATATCATGCAAACTCTTTTCAGTAAAGTCTCACAGTGCAGTGTTGATAAAGAGAGATTCCTACCTTGTGATCTCGTTTGTAAAATCTTCAGGAAAACTTCTTGAAAAGTCTCGACAAAGGTGACAATCGAACAGAGGATTGTTAGGAACAGCTGTGTCAGAGGTTTCAGCTCCCACAGTTTATATACAGTCTGCCTCAGCTGATCAACACCGCCCCCTTTACTTCACATTCGTTTTCCTTCTCTGCCTTTATAACTTTCGGTTTCCATTCTCCTGACATGACACAGCTACTGTGAGCGCTTGTAATGTTTTCATACCAATACGGTCCAATGGTGTGTTTACACCACCGAATAATCCGGTTTTATTAGTGGAGAAACAGCTGTTAGTGAGAATGAATCACCTGGGAGTTTTACCTGATCATCTTATATAAGGTCAAAGATCAAGACTGTCTTTAAAGAAAACAAATACATATTTACAATTATGAGTGTAAATTAACAGATCTATATTGTGTAGTAGCCTAATTGTTATTTATTGGATTCATGAAGCAATTTCTGACACATGAAAAGTCTAAATTAGTTTATATTATCACTTAAAACAAGATGTCAACATGTATTTTATGGCTTTTTGCCTGAAGGAGTGTCCAATGAGCTTCAGAGTTAACTGAGTTAACAGAGTACACTTTAACAGCAGTTGAATGACTGATGGACTCAGAGTTTTCTCTGTAGAGTCGGTGGGAGACATTGTCCAAGATGGCATGAATCTTGGACAGCATCCTCCCTCTCTGACACCGCCGTCAGAGAGTCCAGCTCCACTCCCACAACGTCACTGGCCTTGTGGATCAGTTTATTGAGTATTGATTCACATCCTCCGCATGGTCCTGCAGATGTTGAAGGACCTCAGACTCCTCAGGAAATAGAGATGGCTTTAGAGCCTTTGTGTGTGAAGGACAGTGGCCACAAAACTCATGAACAATGCTACAGTCCCTATCTGGAGTCAGGTTTTGGTTTGTCCATTCTGTGCTACTGTAGAAAGATGGTGGACTGCATAGAAGAGGACTGGCTGCCTCTGTTGATATAAAAGGCTCATTCTAACAAAAACACAACGATTCTTATTTTTTACATGATGTTTTATTTTTTTGTCTTTTTTTAAATTTTCTTATTTAATTGTTATATGACTTTGTTCAGTACATTTCAATACACCCTTGACCCTGTCTTAACCTACTTATGACAAATAAAATTAAACTGATTCAACACAATACTAACAATCTAAAGTAAACTCTGCACTAATGTTGAAAGTTCAGAGGAGAAAACATCAGATCGATGCCTCTCCAATGGCACTTACTGAATATATTGATTAAACTGTAACCAAAACACAAAATCCCCACAGAGGAAATCCCCAGAAAGACACAGGCAGCCTCCCTACAACCCTACAACACACAACACTGCAACACACAACCCTACAACACACAACACTGTAACACACAACCCTGTAACCCACAATCCTACAACACACCACCCTCTAACACACAACCCTGCAACACACAAACCTGCAACACACAAACCACAACCCTGCAACACACAAACCTATAACACACAACCCTGCAACACACAACACTGTAACATACAACCCTGCAACACACAACCCTCTAACACACAACCCTGCAACACACAAACCTACAACACACAAACCTACAACACACAATTAACACTAACTGCACACTTGTGGGAGGTCAGAATCAAAATGCACATTCGTTGTTGCTTTAGTGTTTTTTAAAGTTTGAAGAGAAGATGAAGCAAAGTTACTGAAACTTTCTGTCTGTTCAGATTAACATCCTGTCATCAGTCAAATGAAGCTGCTAAAATGCTGACACCATCTTTTTTTCCTTTTCAGTCCAGAGTGCTGTTGTTTCATTGTCTTACAGACGCACATGAATCCTCTTCACAGAGGTTTTAGGCTGTTTACTGTCTGTATATGCTACCTGTTAAACATCTGACAATAATGCTCACACACAGAAGCTCTTCTGTCTCCTAATAAACCAACAACCAGGTTATGCCATTATAAAATGCTCCTATCACTGTTGGTAATAACAGAATATAATAAATGTAGTTTATAATACATTGACAGAGCATTGTAAGATGTATTAATCTTGATTTATATTATAGAGAAAGTCTGTTTTATATATCTAAATAATATCAATAACAACTCCACCTCTGAGCTGGTGAAATATTACAATGCAGGATATATAAAAGACACATGTACATTTACATTTGGGACTTTTTTTATTTTTTTGTAAAGTTTCCAGTTGACAAAAATAAAACATAATTTTTTTTCCAAATGAGATTACAACATGCCAGGTTGTGTGTACAAAATATTTGTATTGTAAAAACAAAATAACATCAAGTCAAAAGGTTTTTATGACAAAATTACACATCAGGGGAATGTTTTCTTTACTTTTTCCAAATGAAAATACAAATAAATAATAATAAATATGGCATTTGGGATGATTTGATCTTCATTTTTGTGAAATTAAGGAATGTACAGTGTATGAAGTCTCTGATATATTAACCAGAAACGTCCTCAGCCTCCTCTCAGACGCCCGGTCATGTTGATGGTGTCATGAGCCTCGATGTTGTAGTCTGAGAGTAGTTTACCATCCTCCAGCTGTCTGCTTTGGTAAAGGAGCCTCTGCTGGTCCGCCGGAACCCCCTCTCTTTGCTGGACCTTGGTCTTGAAGTTCCTCACAGTCTCATTGGGTCTGACATCATAGGTGCTCTTCTTACCCTGTAGGTTGCTGAGGAACACCTGGATGGTCTCCGGCTGCTGGGTAACCAACAGAGACACCATGGATCCAGACTGTAGACCGTAATAGCAGAGAGGCTTTGAGTCGTCGTTGAGTTGAGTCGTCTGGCCGTTCACAAAGACCAGCTTCTGCCTCTGAGGGGAAACTCCAAGTTTCTCCTGGATGAGTCTTTTTCAGAGAGCTCACTGTGTCCTGTGGGTTCACCGTCAGGGTGTGGAACCTCCCATCCAGCATTTTAATGGTTATATCCATCATGAAAGTGGCCTGACCAGACAGTTCAATACATTTTAAATATAAATTAGGGATTTGAATAGGTTTTTTTTTATGTGAAAATGACGAGTATGATGCAAAAATGATCATTCTCACTATCTTATATCTGTCAAAATAACCGCAATATGATTTGTTTTTAACCATAAATATCATGAAAACTCTTTTCAGTAAAGTCTCACAGTGCAGTGTTGATAAAGAGAGATTCCTACCTTGTGATCTCGTTTGTAAAATCTTCAGGAAAACTTCTTGAAAAGTCTTGACAAAGGTGGCAAACGAACAGATGATTGTTAGGAGCGGATGTGCCAGAGGTTTCAGCTCCCACAGTTTATATACAGTCTGCCTCAGCTGATCAACACCGCCCCCTTTACTTCACATTCCTTTTCCTTCCCTGCCTTCATAACTTTCTGTTTCCATTCTCCTGACATGACACAGCTACTGTGAGTGCTTGTAATGTTTTCATACCAATGCTGTCCAAAGGTGTCTTTACAAAACCAAATAATCTGGTTTTATTAGTGGAGAAACAGCTGTTAGTGAGAATGAATCACCTGGGAGTTTTACCTGATCAGGTTATTTAAGGTCAAAGATCATTAAGGAAAACAATACATAGTTTTAACAATAATGAGAGTAAAAGTAACCAAATTAACAGATATGTAGTAGCATTATTGTTGTTTATTGGATTCACAAAGACATTTTTGAGACATGAAAAGTCTAAATTAGTTTATATTATCACTTAAAACCAGATCTCAATATATATTTTATGGCCTTTTTGTGTCCACTGAACTTCAGAGTTTACTGAGCATTTCAATGAACATTTCATTTTAAAGGTAAAACAAACAATTAGTGATTAAACGGTCCCAAAAATCACAAACCTGATGTAAAGTTCAGAGTTACTCACACATCTCAGTGTCAAGCCTTTAGGAAAAAGTCTCCAGATTATGTAGTAAAGATTTTAGCTAATGTTTTATTTTGCATTCAGATTATTTGTCCATCTCTCTCTCCGTGTTTCCTGCTCACAGACTGAAAGAGGAAACTGAAATAGAGCAAGTTGGCTCCCACTGACCCCGAGAAGAAGAACTTCCCACACCCAACCTGTGGTGACACACAACAAATCAGCAGCAACACCTGTAACAAAAGACAGAAACATAGATGATTGTTTGAGTGTTTTTATTCATCACTTATAAACAAAGCATGTGCCGATTTATTGATTATAAGTGTTTTATTTTGCTGCTGCCACCTTGTGCTCATTGATATCTGTCTGATATCGTGATACACACATGTGCAATACTTCTGAATACACTTCTCACTTTACTTTTAGTCTTCTTTCATATATTCATATGTATCCACAATAGTGATACTCATTCAATAGTCTGTGCACCTGACACACAATAATCACTTGCTCATATCTATACAGTGCAAGCAAATCTATTTATACTTAAGGGACCAGTGTGTAGGATTTATAAATACACACTGGACCTTTAAGTTTATTGTACATATTTCTATAGTAATATTTTATTCATCTCATTCCATTTTATTTTAATCTTTCTTTAATTTTCTTATTTTATTGTTATATGACTTGTGCTGTTACTGCTGAGTTGAGCTCTTCTCATTCAGGACATTTCAATTCACCATTGACCCCATGTTAACCTACATATGACAAATAAAACTAACCTGATTCAACACAATACCAACAATCTAAAGTAAACTCTGCACTAATGTTGAGAGTTCAGAGGAGAAAATATCAGATTGATGCCTCTCCAATGGCACTTACTGAATACACTAATTAAACTGTAACCAAAACACAAAATCCCCACAGAGGAAATCCCCAGAAAGACACAGGCAGCCTCCCTACAACCCTACAACACACAACATTGCAACACACAACCCTACAACACACAACACTGCAACACACAACCCTACAACACACAACACTGCAACACACAACACTACAACACACAACCCTGCAACTAAATTAAGACAAACTTAGAACAAACCCTGGCAGATCAGCACTAACTGCACACTTATTGGAGGTCAGAATCAAAATAATGTTTTTTAAAGTTTGAAGAGAAGATGAAGCAAAGTTACTGAAACTTTCTGTCTGTTCAGATTAACATCCTGTCATCAGTCAAATGAAGCTGCTAAAATGCTGACACCATCTTTTTTTCATTTTCAGTTCAGAGTGCTGTTGTTTCATTGTCTTACAGACGCACATGAATCCTCTTCACATATTAATCTTGATTTATATTATAGAGAAAGTCTGTTTTATATATTTAAATAATATCAACAACAACTCCACCTCTGAGCTGGTGAAATATTACAATGCAGGATATATAAAAGACACATGTACATTTACATTTGGGACTTTTTTATTTTATTGAAAAGTTTCCAGTTGACAAAAATAAAACATCATTTTTTTTCCAAATTAGATTACAACATGCCAGGTTGTGTGTACAACATATTTGTATTGTAAAAACAAAATAACATCAAGTCAAAAGGTTTTTATGACAGAATTACACATCAGGGGAATGTTTTGTTTACTTTTTCCAAATGAAAAAAGAAATAAATAATAATAAATATGGCATTTGGGATGATTTGATCTTCATTTTTGTGAAATTAAGGAATGTACATTGTATGAAGTCTCTGATATATGAACCAGAAACGTCCTCAGCCTCCTCTTAGACGCCCGGTCATGTTGATGGTGTCAAGAGCCTTGATGTTGTAGTCTGAGAGTAGTTTACCATCCTCCAGCTGTCTGCTTTGGTAAAGGAGCCTCTGCTGGTCCGCCGGAACCCCCTCTCTTTGCTGGACCTTGGTCTTGAAGTTCCTCACAGTCTCATTGGGTCTGATATCATAGGTGCTCTTCTGCCCCTGTAGGTTGCTGAGGAACACCTGGATGGTCTCCGGCTGCTGGGTGACCAGCAGAGACACCATGGATCCAGACTGTAGACCGTAGTAGCAGAGAGGCTTTGAGTCGTCGTTGAGTTGAGTCGTCTGGCCGTTCACAAAGACCAGCTTCTGCCTCTGAGGGGAAACTCCAAGTTTCTCGTGGATGAGTCTTTTCAGAGAGCTCACTGTGTCCTGTGGGTTCACCGTCAGGTTGTGGAACCTCCCATCCAGCATTTTAATGGTTATATCCATCATGAAAGTGGCCTGAAAGACAGTTCAATACATTTTAAATATAAATTAGGGATTTGAATAGGTTTTTTTTTTACGTGAAAATGACGAGTATGATGCAAAAATGATCATTCCCACTATCTTATATCTGTCACAATAACTGCAATATGATTTGTTTTTAACCATAAATATCATGCAAACTCTTTTCAGTAAAGTCTCACAGTGCAGTGTTGATAAAGAGAGATTCCTACCTTGTGATCTCGTTTGTAAAATCTTCAGGAAAACTTCTTGAAAAGTCTCGACAAAGGTGACAAACGAACAGATGATTGTTAGGAGCGGATGTGTCAGAGGTTTCAGCTCCCCACAGTTTATATACAGTCTGCCTCAGCTGATCAACACCGCCCCCTTTACTTCACATTCCTTTTCCTTCCCTGCCTTCATAACTTTCAGTTTCTATTCTCCTGACATGACACAGCTACTGTGAGCACTTGTAATGTTTTCATACCAATGTTGTGCAAAGGTGTCTTTACAAAATGTGATAATCCAGTTTTATTAGTGGAGAAACAGCTGTTAGTGACAATGAATCACAGGGGAGTTTTACCTGATCAGGTTATTTAAGGTCAAAGATCATTAGGGAAAACAAATACATAGTTTTAGCAATAATGAGAGGAAAAGTGACCCAATCAACATATAAGTAGTAGCATAATTGTACTCACACATCTCAGTGTCGGGCCTTTCGGCAACAGTCTCCGGATTATGCTTTAAAGATTTTAGCAAATGTTTTATTTTGCATTCAGATTATTTGTCCATCTCTCTTTCAGTGTTTCCTGCTCACAGACTGAAAGGAAACTGAAATAGAGCAAGTTGGCTCCCACTGACCCCGAGAAGAAGAACTTCCCACACCCACCCTGTGGTGACACACAACAAATAATCAGCAACACCTGTAACAAAAGACAGAAACATAGATGATTGTTTGAGTGTTTTTATTCATCACTTATAAACAAAGCATGTGCTGATGTATTGATTATAAGTGTTTTATTTTGCTGCTGCCTCCTTGTGCTCATTGATATCTGTCTGATATCGTGATACACACATGTGCAATACTTCTGAATACACTTCTCACTTTACTTTTAGTCTTCTTTCATATATTCATATGTATCCACAATAGTGATACTCATTCAATAGTCTGTGCACCTGACACACAATAATCACTTGCTCATATCTATACAGTGTATAGCAAATTTATTTATACTTAAAGGACCAGTGTGTAATATTTACTGGCATCTATTTGTTGTTAACAACAGCTGTTAATTGTTTGTCTAGTCACCACAGGGTGGGTATGGGAAGTTCCTTTTTGGGGACAGTGGGAGCCAACTTGAACTATTTCAGTTTCCCCCGTCCGTCTATGAGCGGGAAGCTGGAAATTGCAACTATTTGAATACAGAATCAGAATCAGAAATACTTTATTGATCCCCGGTGGGAAATTTGTTTGTTAGAGATGTTCTACTCACACAACGTTAAAGAATAGAAATAATACTTATAACACAATATCTAGAATATGAATGTATTTGTAAGTATATACATATAAGTAAAAAGTAAAAATGGAAATGGAAATATAAGAAGATAATTAGAGCCTCTATACAAAGTAAATGTAAACATATTCCACAGTATTACTGAAAGAAATTAAATAAATAGTAATACGTTTTATAGATTGTGGTGTTGCAGTTAGAGTTAATTACAAAGAATAACATAATAATCAAGTGAGTTGCACCTTAATTGACTTATTGCACTTTAACAGTTTGAGATAATTATCAGTTTAATGACTGATGGACTCAGAGTTTTCACTGTGGAGTTGGTGGGAGACATTGTCCAAGATGGTATGAATCTTGGACAGCGTCCTCCTCTCTGACACCGCCTTCAAAGAGTGCTGTTGTTTCATTGTCTTACAGACGCACATGAATCCTCTTCACAGAGGTTTTAGGCTGTTTACTGTCTGTATATGCTACCTGTTAATCTGACAATAATGCTCACATACAGAAGCTCTTCTGTCTCCTAACAAACCAACAACCAGGTTACGCCATTATAAAATGCTCCTATCACTGTTGGTAATAACAGAATATAATAAATGTAGTTTATAATACATTGACAGAGCATTGTAAGATGTATTAATCTTGATTTATATTATAGAGAAAGTCTCTTTTATATATTTAAATAATATCAATAACAACTCCACCTCTGAGCTGGTGAAATATTACAATGCAGGATATATAAAAGACACATGTACATTTACATTTGGGACTTTTTTTTTATTTTATTGAAAAGTTTCCAGTTGACAAAAATAAAACATCATTTTTTTTCCAAATGAGATTACAACATGCCAGGTTGTGTGTACATATATGTATTGTAAAAACAAAATAACATCAAGTCAAAAGGTTTTTATGACAAAATTACACATCAGGGGAATGTTTTCTTTACTTTTTCCAAATGAAAATACAAATAAATAATAATAAATATGACATTTGGGATGATTTGATCTTCATTTTTGTGAAATTAAGGAATGTACAGTGTATGAAGTCTCTGATATATGAACCAGAAACGTCCTCAGCCTCCTCTCAGACGCCCGGTCATGTTGATGGTGTCAAGAGCCTTGATGTTGTAGTCTGAGAGATTTTTACCATCCTCCAACTGTCTGCTTTGGTAAAGGAGCCTCTGCTGGTCCACTGGGACCCCCTCTCTTTGCTGGACCTTGGTCTTGAAGTTCCTCACAGTCTCATTGGGTCTGACATCATAGGTGCTCTTCTTACCCTGTAGGTTGCTGAGGAACACCTGGATGGTCTCCGGCTGCTGGGTGACCAGCAGAGACACCATGGATCCAGACTGTAGATTGTAGTAGCAGAGAGGCTTTGAGTCGTCGTTGAGTTGAGTCTTCTGGCCGTTCACAAAGACCAGCTTCTGCCTCTGAGGGGAAACTCCAAGTTTCTCGTGGATGAGTCTTTTCAGAGAGCTCACTGTGTCCTGTGGGTTCACCGTCAGGGTGTGGAACCTCCCATCCAGCATTTTAATGGTGATATCCATCATGAAAGTGGCCTGAAAGACAGTTCAATACATTTTAAATATAAATTAGGGATTTGAATAGGTTTTTTTTTACGTGAAAATGACGATTATGATGCAAAAATGATCATTCCCACTATCTCATTGCCAGAGGTTTCAGCTCCCACAGTTTATATACAGTCTGCCTCAGCTGATCAACACCGCCCCCTTTACTTCACATTCCTTTTCCTTCCCTGCCTTCATAACTTTCTGTTTCCATTCTCCTGACATGACACAGCTACTGTGAGTGCTTGTAATGTTTTCATACCAATGCTGTCCAAAGGTGTCTTTACACAACCAAATAATCTGGTTTTATTAGTGGAGAAACAGCTGTTAGTGAGAATGAATCACCTGGGAGTTTTACCTGATCAGATTATGTAAGGTCAAAGCTCATTAAGGAAAACAAATACATAGTTTTAACAATAATGAGAGTAAAAGTAACCAAATTAACAGATATGTAGTAGCATTATTGTTGTTAATTTGATTCACAAAGACATTTTTGAGACATGAAAAGTCTAAATTAGTTTATTTTATCACTTAAAACCAGATGTCAATATATATTTTATGGCCTTTTTGTGTCCACTTTTATAAATACACACTGGACCTTTAAGTTTATTGTACATATTTCTATAGTAATATTTTATTAATCTCATTCCATTTTATTTTAATCTTTCTTTAATTTTCTTATTTTATTGTTATATGACTTGTGCTGTTACTGCTGAGTTGAGCTCTTCTCATTCAGTACATTTCAATTCACCATTGACCCCATGTTAACCTTCATATGACAAATAAAACTAAACTGATTCAACACAATACCAACAATCTAAAGTAATCTCTGCACTAATGTTGAGAGTTCAGAGGAGAAAACATCAGATCGATGCCTCTCCAATGGCACTTACTGAATACACTAATTAAACTGTAACCAAAACACAAAATCCCCACAGAGGAAATCCCCAGAAAGACACAGGCAGCCTCCCTACAACCCTACAACACACAACACTGCAACACACAACCCTACAACACACAACACTGCAACACACAACACTACAACACACAACCCTGCAACTAAATTAAGACAAACTTAGAACAAACCCTGGCAGATCAGCACTAACTGCACACTTATTGGAGGTCAGAATCAAAATAATGTTTTTTAAAGTTTGAAGAGAAGATGAAGCAAAGTTACTGAAACTTTCTGTCTGTTCAGATTAACATCCTGTCATCAGTCAAATGAAGCTGCTAAAATGCTGACACCATCTTTTTTTCCTTTTCAGTTCAGAGTGCTGTTGTTTCATTGTCTTACAGACGCACATGAATCCTCTTCACATATTAATCTTGATTTATATTGTAGAGAAAGTCTGTTTTATATATTCAAATAATATCAATAACAACTCCACCTCTGAGCTGGTGAAATATTACAATGCAGGAAAATATAAAAGACACATGCACATTTACATTTTGGACTTTTTTTTGTTTTATTGAAAAGTTTCCAGTTGACAAAAATAAAACATCATTTTTTTTCCAAATGAGATTACAACATGCCAGGTTGTGTGTACAACATATTTGTATTGTAAAAACAAAATAACATCAAGCCAAAAGGTTTTTATGACAGAATTACACATCAGGGGGAATCTTTTGTTTACTTTTTCCAAATGAAAATACAAATAAATAATAATAAATATGACATTTGGGATGATTTGATCTTCATTTTTGTGAAATTAAGGAATGTACATTGTATGAAGTCTCTGATATATGAACCAGAAACGTCCTCAGCCTCCTCTCAGACGCCCAGTCATGTTGATGGTGTCAAGAGCCTTGATGTTGTAGTCTGAGAGATTTTTACCATCCTCCAGCTGTCTGCTTTGGTAAAGGAGCCTCTGCTGGTCCGCCGGAACCCCCTCTCTTTGCTGGACCTTGGTCTTGAAGTTCCTCACAGTCTCATTGGGTCTGATATCATAGGTGCTCTTCTGCCCCTGTAGGTTGCTGAGGAACACCTGGATGGTCTCCGGCTGCTGGGTGACCAGCAGAGACACCATGGATCCAGACTGTAGATTGTAGTAGCAGAGAGGCTTTGAGTCGTCGTTGAGTTGAGTAGTCTGGCCGTTCACAAAGACCAGCTTCTGCCTCTGAGGGGAAACTCCCAGTTTGTTGTGGATGAGACTTTTCAGAGAGCTCACTGTGTCCTGTGGGTTCACCGTCAGGGTGTGGAACCTCCCATCCAGCATTTTAATGGTTATATCCATCATGAAAGTGGCCTGAAAGACAGTTCAGTACAAATTTAAGTTAAATATAAGTGTAGAGTGCAGATGTAAGAAAATATGTTTATTCGGTTCAATCCCCCCAAAGAATGTCCAATAAACATGATTTGAATAGGGTTTTTTATGTGAAAATTACGATTATGATGCAAAAATGATCATTGATGAATGATCATCTGTCAAAATAACTGCAATATGATTTGTTTTTAACCATGAATATCATGCAAACTCTTTTCAGTAAAGTCTCACAGTGCAGTGTTGATAAAGAGAGATTCCTACCTTGTGATCTCGTTTATAAAATCTTCAGGAAAACTTCTTGAAAAGTCTCGACAAAGGTGACAATCGAATAGATGATTGTTAGGAGCGGATGTGCCAGAGGTTTCAGCTCCCACAGTTTATATACAGTCTGCCTCAGCTGATCAACACCGCCCCCTTCACTTCACATTCCTTTTCCTTCCCTGCCTTCATAACTTTCTGTTTCCATTCTCCTGACATGACACAGTTACTGTGAGCGCTTGTAATGTTTTCATACCAATGCTGTCCAAAGGTGTCTTTACACAACCAAATAATCTGGTTTTATTAGTGGAGAAACAGCTGTTAGTGAGAATGAATCACCTGGGAGTTTTACCTGATCAGATTATGTAAGGTCAAAGCTCATTAAGGAAAACAAATACATAGTTTTAACAATAATGAGAGTAAAAGTAACCAAATTAACAGATATGTAGTAGCATTATTGTTGTTTATTGGATTCACAAAGACATTTTTGACACATGAAAAGTCTAAATTAGTTTATATTATCACTTAAAAACCAGATCTCAATATATATTTCATGGCCTTTTTGTGTCCACTGAGCTTCAGAGTTTACTGAGCATTTCAATTAACATTTCATTTTAAAGGTAAAACAAACAATTGGTGATTAAACGGTCCCAAAAATAACAAACCTGATGTAAAGTTCAGAGTTACTCACACATCTCAGTGTCGGGCCTTTTGGCAAAAGTCTCCAGATTATGCCTTAAAGATTTTAGCAAATGTTTTATTTTGCATTCAGATTATTTGTCCATCTCTCTCTCTCAGTGTTTCCTGCTCACAGACTGAAAGAGGAAACTGAAATAGAGCAAGTTGGCTCCCACTGACCCCAAAAACAAGAACTTCCCACACCCACCCTGTGGTGACACACAACAAATCAGCAGCAACACCTGTAACAAAAGACAGACACATAGATGATTGTTTGAGTGTTTTTATTCATCACTTATAAACAAAGCATGTGCTGATTTATTGATTATCAGTGTTTTATTTTGCTGCTGCCTCCTTGTGCTCATTGATATCTGTCTGATATCGTGATACACACATGTGCAATACTTCTGAATACACTTCTCACTTTACTTTTAGTCTTCTTTCATATATTCATATGTATCCACAATAGTGATACTCATTCAATAGTCTGTGCACCTGACACACAATAATCACTTGCTCATATCTATACAGTGTATAGCAAATTTATTTATACTTAAAGGACCAGTGTGTAAGATTTACTGGCATCTATTTGTTGTTAACAACAGCTGTTAATTGTTGTTTGTCTAGTCACCACAGGGTGGGTGTGGGAAGTTCCTTTTTGGGGACAGTGGGAGCCAACTTGAACTATTTCAGTTTCCCCCGTCCGTCTATGAGCGGGAAGCTGGAAATTGCAACTATTTGAATACAGAATCAGAATCAGAAATACTTTATTGATCCCCGGTGGGAAATTTGTTTGTTAGAGATGTTCTACTCACACAACGTTAAAGAATAGAAATAATACTTATAACACAATATCTAGAATATGAATGTATTTGTAAGTATATACATATAAGTAAAAAGTAAAAATGGAAATGAAAATATAAGAAGATAATTAGAGCCTCTATACAAAGTAAATGTAAACATATTCCACAGTATTACTGAAAGAAATTAAATAAATAGTAATATGTTTTATAGATTGTGGTGTTGCAGTTAGAGTTAATTACAAAGAATAACATAATAATCAAGTGAATTGCACCTTAATTGACTTATTGCAGTTTAACAGCACCAGTTTAATGACTGATGGACTCAGAGTTTTCACTGTGGAGTGGGTGGGAGACATTGTCCAAGATGGTATGAATCTTGGACAGCGTCCTCCTCTCTGACACCGCCTTCAAAGAGTGCTGTTGTTTCATTGTCTTACAGACGCACATGAATCCTCTTCACAGAGGTTTTAGGCTGTTTACTGTCTGTATATGCTACCTGTTAAACATCTGACAATAATGCTCACATACAGAAGCTCTTCTGTCTCCTAACAAACCAACAACCAGGTTATGCCATTATAAAATGCTCCTATCACTGTTTGTAATAACAGAATATAATAAATGTAGTTTATAATACATTGACAGAGCATTGTAAGATGTATTAATCTTGATTTATATTATAGAGAAAGTCTGTTTTATATATCTAAATAATATCAATAACAACTCCACCTCTGAGCTGGTGAAATATTACAATGCAGGATATATAAAAGACACATGTACATTTACATTTGGGACTTTTTTTATTTTATTGAAAAGTTTCCAGTTGACAAAAATAAAACATAATTTTGTTTGCAAATGAGATTACAACATGCCAGGTTGTGCGTACAACATATTTGTATTGTAAAAACAAAATAACATCAAGCCAAAAGGTTTTTATGACAGAATTACACATCAGGGGAATGTTTTATTTACTTTTTCCAAATGAAAATACAAATAAATAATAATAAATATGACATTTGGGATGATTTGATCTTCATTTTTGTGAAATTAAGGAATGTACAGTGTATAAAGTCTCTGATATATGAACCAGAAACGTCCTCAGCCTCCTCTCAGAAGCCCGGTCATGTTGATGGTGTCAAGAGCCTTGATGTTGTAGTCTGAGAGATTTTTACCATCCTCAAGCTGTCTGGTTTGGTGAAGGAGCCTCTGCTGGTCCGCCGGAACCCCCTCTCTTTGCTGGACCTTGGTCTTGAAGTTCCTCACAGTCTCATTGGGTCTGATATCATAGGTGCTCTTCTGCCCCTGTAGGTTGCTGAGGAACACCTGGATGGTCTCCGGCTGCTGGGTAACCAGCAGAGACACCAGGGATCCAGACTGTAGACCGTAGTAGCAGAGAGGCTTTGAGTCGTCGTTGAGTTGAGTAGTCTGGCCGTTCACAAAGACCAGCTTCTGCCTCTGAGGGGAAACTCCCAGTTTGTTGTGGATGAGTCTTTTCAGAGAGCTCACTGTGTCCTGTGGGTTCACCGTCAGGGTGTGGAACCTCCCATCCAGCATTTTAATGGTTATATCCATCATGAAAGTGGCCTGAAAGACAGTTCAGTACAAATTTAAGTTAAATATAAGTGTAGAGTGCAGATGTAAGAAAACATGTTTATTCGGTTCAATCCCCCCAAAGAATGTCCAATAAACAGGATTTGAATAGGGTTTTTTGTGTGAAAATGACGATTATGATGCAAAAATGATCATGCCCACTATCTCATATCTGTCAAAATAACTGCAATATGATTTGTTTTTAACCATAAATATCATGAAAACTCTTTTCAGTAAAGTCTCACAGTGCAGTGTTGATAAAGAGAGATTCCTACCTTGTGATCTCGTTTGTAAAATCTTCAGGAAAACTTCTTGAAAAGTCTCGACAAAGGTGACAAACGAACAGATGATTGTTAGGAGCGGATGTGTCAGAGGTTTCAGCTCCCCACAGTTTATATACAGTCTGCCTCAGCTGATCAACACCGCCCCCTTTACTTCACATTCCTTTTCCTTTTCTGCCTTCATAACTTTCAGTTTCTATTCTCCTGACATGACACAGCTACTGTGAGCACTTGTAATGTTTTCATACCAATGTTGTGCAAAGGTGTCTTTACAAAATGTGATAATCCAGTTTTATTAGTGGAGAAACAGCTGTTAGTGACAATGAATCACAGGGGAGTTTTACCTGATCAGGTTATTTAAGGTCAAAGATCATTAGGGAAAACAAATACATAGTTTTAGCAATAATGAGAGGAAAAGTGACCCAATCAACATATAAGTAGCAGCATTATTGTACTCACACATCTCAGTGTCGGGCCTTTCGGCAACAGTCTCCAGATTATGCTTTAAAGATTTTAGCAAATGTTTTATTTTGCATTCAGATTATTTGTCCATCTCTCTCTCAGTGTTTCCTGCTCACAGACTGAAAGGAAACTGAAATAGAGCAAGTTGGCTCCCACTGACCCCGAGAAGAAGAACTTCCCACACCCACCCTGTGGTGACACACAACAAATAATCAGCAACACCTGTAACAAAAGACAGAAACATAGATGATTGTTTGAGTGTTTTTATTCATCACTTATAAACAAAGCATGTGCTGATGTATTGATTATAAGTGTTTTATTTTGCTGCTGCCTCCTTGTGCTCATTGATATCTGTCTGATATCGTGATACACACATGTGCAATACTTCTGAATACACTTCTCACTTTACTTTTAGTCTTCTTTCATATATTCATATGTATCCACAATAGTGATACTCATTCAATAGTCTGTGCACCTAACACACAATAATCACTTGCTCATATCTATACAGTGTATAGCAAATTTATTTATACTTAAAGGACCAGTGTGTAGGATTTACTGGCATCTATTTGTTGTTAGCAACAGCTGTTAATTGTTGTTTGTCTAGTCACCACAGGGTGGGTATGGGAAGTTCCTTTTTGGGGACAGTGGGAGCCAACTTGAACTATTTCAGTTTCCCCCGTCCGTCTATGAGCGGGAAGCTGGAAATTGCAACTATTTGAATACAGAATCAGAATCAGAAATACTTTATTGATCCCCGGTGGGAAATTTGTTTGTTAGAGATGTTCTACTCACACAACGTTAAAGAATAGAAATAATACTTATAACACAATATCTAGAATATGAATGTATTTGTAAGTATATACATATAAGTAAAAAGTAAAAATGGAAATGGAAATATAAGAAGATAATTAGAGCCTCTATACAAAGTAAATGTAAACATATTCCACAGTATTACTGAAAGAAATTAAATAAATAGTAATACGTTTTATAGATTGTGGTGTTGCAGTTAGAGTTAATTACAAAGAATAACATAATAATCAAGTGAATTGCACCTTAATTGACTTATTGCACTTTAACAGCACCAGTTTAAAGACTGATGGACTCAGAGTTTTCACTGTGGAGTGGGTGGGAGACATTGTCCAAGATGGTATGAATCTTGGACAGCGTCCTTATCTCTGACACCGCCTTCAAAGAGTGCTGTTGTTTCATTGTCTTACAGATGCACATGAATCCTCTTCACAGAGGTTTTAGGCTGTTTACTGTCTGTATATGCTACCTGTTAAACATCTGACAATAATGCTCACATACAGAAGCTCTTCTGTCTCCTAATAAACCAACAACCAGGTTACGCCATTATAAAATGCTCCTATCACTGTTTGTAATCACAGAATATAATAAATGTAGTTTATAATACATTGACAGAGCATTGTAAGATGTATTAATCTTGATTTATATTATAGAGAAAGTCTGTTTTATATATTTAAATAATATCAATAACAACTCCACCTCTGAGCTGGTGAAATATTACAATGCAGGATATATAAAAGACACATGTACATTTACATTTGGGACTTTTTTTATTTTTTTGTAAAGTTTCCAGTTGACAAAAATAAAACATAATTTTGTTTGCAAATAAGATTACAACATGCCAGGTTGTGCGTACAACATATTTGTATTGTAAAAACAAAATAACATCAAGTCAAAAGGTTTTTATGACAAAATTACACATCAGGGGAATGTTTTCTTTACTTTTTCCAAATGAAAATACAAATAAATAATAATAAATATGACATTTGGGATGATTTGATCTTCATTTTTGTGAAATTAAGGAATGTACAGTGTATGAAGTCGCTGATATATGAACCAGAAACGTCCTCAGCCTCCTCTCAGAAGCCCGGTCATGTTGATGGTGTCAAGAGCCTTGATGTTGTAGTCTGAGAGATTTTTACCATCCTCAAGCTGTCTGGTTTGGTGAAGGAGCCTCTGCTGGTCCGCCGGAACCCCCTCTCTTTGCTGGACCTTGGTCTTGAAGTTCCTCACAGTCTCATTGGGTCTGATATCATAGGTGCTCTTCTGCCCCTGTAGGTTGCTGAGGAACACCTGGATGGTCTCCGGCTGCTGGGTAACCAGCAGAGACACCAGGGATCCAGACTGTAGACCGTAGTAGCAGAGAGGCTTTGAGTCGTCGTTGAGTTGAGTAGTCTGGCCGTTCACAAAGACCAGCTTCTGCCTCTGAGGGGAAACTCCCAGTTTGTTGTGGATGAGTCTTTTCAGAGAGCTCACTGTGTCCTGTGGGTTCACCGTCAGGGTGTGGAACCTCCCATCCAGCATTTTAATGGTTATATCCATCATGAAAGTGGCCTGAAAGACAGTTCAGTACAAATTTAAGTTAAATATAAGTGTAGAGTGCAGATGTAAGAAAACATGTTTATTCGGTTCAATCCCCCCAAAGAATGTCCAATAAACAGGATTTGAATAGGGTTTTTTGTGTGAAAATGACGATTATGATGCAAAAATGATCATGCCCACTATCTCATATCTGTCAAAATAACTGCAATATGATTTGTTTTTAACCATAAATATCATGAAAACTCTTTTCAGTAAAGTCTCACAGTGCAGTGTTGATAAAGAGAGATTCCTACCTTGTGATCTCGTTTGTAAAATCTTCAGGAAAACTTCTTGAAAAGTCTCGACAAAGGTGACAAACGAAGGGATGATTGTTAGGAGCGGATGTGCCAGAGGTTTCAGCTCCCCACAGTTTATATACAGTCTGCCTCAGCTGATCAACACCGCCCCCTTTACTTCACATTCCTTTTCCTTCCCTGCCTTCATAACTTTCTGTTTCCATTCTCCTGACATGACACAGCTACTGTGAGTGCTTGTAATGTTTTCATACCAATGCTGTCCAAAGGTGTCTTTACAAAACCAAATAATCTGGTTTTATTAGTGGAGAAACAGCTGTTAGTGAGAATGAATCACCTGGGAGTTTTACCTGATCAGGTTATTTAAGGTCAAAGATCATTAAGGAAAACAATACATAGTTTTAACAATAATGAGAGTAAAAGTAACCAAATTAACAGATATGTAGTAGCATTATTGTTGTTTATTGGATTCACAAAGACATTTTTGAGACATGAAAAGTCTAAATTAGTTTATATTATCACTTAAAACCAGATCTCAATATATATTTTATGGCCTTTTTGTGTCCACTGAACTTCAGAGTTTACTGAGCATTTCAATGAACATTTCATTTTAAAGGTAAAACAAACAATTAGTGATTAAACGGTCCCAAAAATCACAAACCTGATGTAAAGTTCAGAGTTACTCACACATCACAGTGTCAAGCCTTTAGGAAAAAGTCTCCAGATTATGTAGTAAAGATTTTAGCTAATGTTTTATTTTGCATTCAGATTATTTGTCCATCTCTCTCTCCGTGTTTCCTGCTCACAGACTGAAAGAGGAAACTGAAATAGAGCAAGTTGGCTCCCACTGACCCCGAGAAGAAGAACTTCCCACACCCAACCTGTGGTGACACACAACAAATCAGCAGCAACACCTGTAACAAAAGACAGAAACATAGATGATTGTTTGAGTGTTTTTATTCATCACTTATAAACAAAGCATGTGCCGATTTATTGATTATAAGTGTTTTATTTTGCTGCTGCCACCTTGTGCTCATTGATATCTGTCTGATATCGTGATACACACATGTGCAATACTTCTGAATACACTTCTCACTTTACTTTTAGTCTTCTTTCATATATTCATATGTATCCACAATAGTGATACTCATTCAATAGTCTGTGCACCTGACACACAATAATCACTTGCTCATATCTATACAGTGCAAGCAAATTTATTTATACTTAAGGGACCAGTGTGTAGGATTTATAAATACACACTGGACCTTTAAGTTTATTGTACATATTTCTATAGTAATATTTTATTCATCTCATTACATTTTATTTTAATCTTTCTTTAATTTTCTTATTTTATTGTTATATGACTTGTGCTGTTACTGCTGAGTTGAGCTCTTCTCATTCAGTACATTTCAATTCACCATTGACCCCATGTTAACCTACATATGACAAATAAAACTAAACTGATTCAACACAATACCAACAATCTAAAGTAATCTCTGCACTAATGTTGAGAGTTCAGAGGAGAAAACATCAGATCGATGCCTCTCTAATGGCACTTACTGAATACACTAATTAAACTGTAACCAAAACACAAAATCCCCACAGAGGAAATCCCCAGAAAGACACAGGCAGCCTCCCTACAACCCTACAACACACAACACTGCAACACACAACCCTACAACACACAACACTGCAACACACAACACTACAACACACAACCCTGCAACTAAATTAAGACAAACTTAGAACAAACCCTGGCAGATCAGCACTAACTGCACACTTATTGGAGGTCAGAATCAAAATAATGTTTTTTAAAGTTTGAAGAGAAGATGAAGCAAAGTTACTGAAACTTTCTGTCTGTTCAGATTAACATCCTGTCATCAGTCAAATGAAGCTGCTAAAATGCTGACACCATCTTTTTTTCCTTTTCAGTTCAGAGTGCTGTTGTTTCATTGTCTTACAGACGCACATGAATCCTCTTCACATATTAATCTTGATTTATATTGTAGAGAAAGTCTGTTTTATATATTCAAATAATATCAATAACAACTCCACCTCTGAGCTGGTGAAATATTACAATGCAGGAAAATATAAAAGACACATGCACATTTACATTTTGGACTTTTTTTGTTTTATTGAAAAGTTTCCAGTTGACAAAAATAAAACATCATTTTTTTTTCCAAATGAGATTACAACATGCCAGGTTGTGTGTACAACATATTTGTATTGTAAAAAAAAAAATAACATCAACATCAAGTCAAAAGGTTTTTATGACAGAATTACACATCAGGGGAATGTTTTCTTTACTTTTTCCAAATGAAAAAAGAAATAAATAATAATAAATATGGCATTTGGGATGATTTGATCTTCATTTTTGTGAAATTAAGGAATGTACAGTGTATGAAGTCTCTGATATATGAACCAGAAACGTCCTCAGCCTCCTCTCAGACGCCCGGTCATGTTGACGGTGTCAAGAGCCTTGATGTTGTAGTCTGAGAGATTTTTACCATCCTCCAGCTGTCTGCTTTGGTAAAGGAGCCTCTGCTGGTCTGCTGGGATACCCTCTCTTTGCTGGACCTTGGTCTTGAAGTTCCTCACAGTCTCATTGGGTCTGATATCATAGGTGCTCTTCTGCCCCTGTAGGTTGCTGAGGAACACCTGGATGGTCTCCGGCTGCTGGGTGACCAGCAGAGACACCATGGATCCAGACTGTAGACCGTAGTAGCAGAGAGGCTTTGAGTCGTCGTTGAGTTGAGTCGTCTGGCCGTTCACAAAGACCAGCTTCTGCCTCTGAGGGGAAACTCCAAGTTTCTCGTGGATGAGCCTTTTCAGAGAGCTCACTGTGTCCTGTGGGTTCACCGTCAGGGTGTGGAACCTCCCATCCAGCATTTTAATGGTTATATCCATCATGAAAGTGGCCTGAAAGACAGTTCAATACATTTTAAATATAAATTAGGGATTTGAATAGGTTTTTTTTACATGAAAATGACGATTATGATGCAAAAATGATCATTCCCACTATCTTATATCTGTCAAAATAACTGCAATATGATTTGTTTTTAACCATAAATATCATGCAAACTCTTTTCAGTAAAGTCTCACAGTGCAGTGTTGATAAAGAGAGATTCCTACCTTGTGATCTCGTTTGTAAAATCTTCAGGAAAACTTCTTGAAGTCTTGACAAAGGTGACAATCAAACAGATGATTGTTACGAGCAGCTGTGTCAGAGGTTTCAGCTCCCCACAGTTTATATACAGTCTGCCTCAGCTGATCAACACCGCCCCCCTTTACTTCACATTCGTTTTCCTTCTCTGCCTTCATAACTTTCAGTTTCTATTCTCCTGACATGA